GAGGAGGTGCCCGAGCAGTGGAAACAGGACTCTATGAACAACGAGTTGGTTATCATAAAGCAATTGAAGCACAAGAATATCATCGAAGTGTACGAAGTGTTCGCCACTAAGAAAGTGGTCTTCATTTTCATGCAATTGGCGCCAAAGGGGTCCATACGGGCGCTGATGGACCGCTACCAGCATCCGACCAAAGAGCCGCAGGCCAGGGTCTGGTTTAGGGACCTCATGCAAGGCCTGTCCTATATGCACACCAAGAACATAGCGCACCGGGACTTAAAACTGGATAACTTTCTGCTCAATAATAACTATACGGCTCTCCTGTCGGACTTTGGCTTCGCGGTGATGGTCGACAAGAAGGAGCGCTTCCTGACAGACACGATGTGCGGTTCGCCGTCATATATGGCACCGGAAGTGCATAAAGCGAGCAAAGAGTCGCTCTATAACCCGATGATCGCCGACGTGTACTCAATGGGTGTCTGTCTGTTTGAATTGATTAATTACGACAAACCGTTCGTTAGTAACCTACCGGTGCCGCAGCTCATACGCGCCAAACAATCACGAAATTATAAATATCACCAAAAGTTAGTATTAAGCGATGAGATCACAGACCTAATTAACAAACTCTTAGAGCCCGACCCACAGAAACGGATTAAATTACAGCAAATTCTGGACCACAAAGCCTTAAAGCAATGATTCAGACGTTTTGTATTAAAGCTAATTATTTTGTATATCTTTTTGTACTATTTTCTCAATTGATTTTAATAACGTTTTATAAATAAATAAATTTACAAAAATAATTTCTTATAAAAGTTTATTGACTTTTGTATTGACTTATTGTCTGTAGTAAAATTGTTTTATATTGAGTACTCGTATAATAAGTTAGTCTAATGTTTGCGTATGATTTATACTCGCAATTTGTTTTCATCACTCAATATGTTTAAAAAAAATACTATACTATACTGTATCGCCTGTAAAAACAAAACTAATTGCATATAAATTGAGAATATACGTTAAGAATATTCCATAAAAATGGTGACTATAGGGACATAAGTAAAAATAAGTAACTAGAATAAAGTCATTATTTACGATTATTATTAAATAACTCAATAAAATAGGAGGAAAGCAAATATTTTTATTATGAATTATGAATCAAAAGTAATAATTGATTGCTTGAGAATTTCTAGCTATAAATCGATTGATTTGATTAACAGTCACTCACTTTGTAGAGTAGAAACAATCATAACTAAAAACACAACAGATTTTTGGGCCAAAAATTGTGATAATTTATAATTCTATACATCTATTGATCATTGATATCGCTGTTAGTATAGCTAAGAGTTTGGGAAATAGCGCTGGGAATCCGATGTAACGTATAATATAGTTATTGATATACAATATATAAGGAGTTAGAGCTCACCCTTCACTGACTCCACAACAAGAGCTGTTGGCCTGAAATGAAAGATTGGAGACAATTGTTAACAAAAATAAGAAAATAAAATATCAATAATAATATTTTTGTTATAAAATGTAAGTTTTTTCCGTTCAAACGGACGGCTGGAGAGAGAGAGAGAGAGAGAGAGAGAGAGAGAGAGGATCTGGTCGTCGCATACATACAAACGTCTTGTACTCCGAGGGAAACAACAAAATTCAATAAAGTATTGCAAAATTTTTCAGTTCAATCAAGTGTTTTGACTGACTAGACATACATAATATTTATGACTGACAGCACCAGAATTGTGGACATATTTTTAATAAAATCAATGGATTGAAAACTAGACCCTTTTCGTATGGCACGACTTTTAATTCACAGTAAACTCGCGCTATTATGTACACAAATTCCCCCGCAAATATCTATATATGCTAATTCAATATTTATATCGTTTGCCTAAATATTTTAATTAAAAAATAAAATAAGCTAGTGTAAATAAATAACTAGCGCACAGAATTTTACAAAGCAAATAGTATGGTAGTAGGAATATTCTGGATTTATTTATTGGTTTGTTAATAATATTGAGAGTCAAGTGTACGCTTTATTGTGTGTTATTTTGCTTCAATATATAAAATGATTTGTTTTTTGAAGGTTTGAGAGAATAGGGGAGAGAAAGAGTGCACTTTAGGGAAACACATAACACATAAAGCTTTGACATTAAAATACAAGAAAAATTGATTCACAAAAAAGAAAACTTAAAAATAGGAATTGTTTTGCTCTTATATTCTTGCATATCTTATATATGCATAGTATGTGTATTCAAATGTATTTTTAATACAAATTCGTTCATAAAATGATCCTTCACTTTAAGACACTCACAAAGAGACAGTCATATATAGTATGAAAAAAGGTTTTCCATATATGAAAGTAGCACTTATTTTATTCATACAAATGTCACACATTTTGTTGTTTATATTAATACCTAATTCTTGTGATGAGAAAAGTGTTGTTCAGGAAAATGAGTGAAGGAATTAATAATATCTTGTTTTAACAGTGAATAAAATTGTGTTAATTATTCATTTTGACGACTATTTTATATTTCCCACGAGTCTTGCTTATACTGTATTTAAAGTCTAGACTTTATGTAATTCAACAGCAAATAACACATAAAAAAGTGTCTCTTTCCTACTCTCCTTAACCATAAGATAACACAACAGACAAAACCATTTCTTTCAATAATAATCGCAATTTTAAAGAGTATTTTGTGTTCAAATATTTATAAATAATTAGAGCTAAAAGTGTTATCGTATTTCTCTTTTGCCATTCAATCGATACTTTTGTTTGAGTTTTACGTTACAAAGGGAATGAAGTTTTTATTGTTTAAACTAACACTTTGTGTGAAATTTTAATTTGGAAACAAAATACTCAGTGAAAGATATTCTGTATTTTTAATTCAATCGTTAATTGAAAGACAATATAGAAAACAATGAACGGAATTAACGAGTGAAATGAATATATATTTTTAAATTATTAACGCTATAATTGAACTCAACTCTCGAAAAACAATTCAATTATCATTCATCTCTCTCTCTCTCTCTCTCTCTCTCTCTCTCTCTCTCTCTGCGCTTTCATTATAATAATTATTAGGCTATTTTTGATATAAATTTTCGGACATTAAATCAATTGAAAAGCTAATGAATGAATTGAATGAATATACGAATTAAATCTAGCACATAATGTATTAACTTAATATATCGTTGGGCATCAAATCAATACCAAAACGTAAAACAATATTATTGTTATTTGTGAGTGTCAGCACTCACTACCACTATATTCAAGAATTTGTAAAATATTTTGTTTTTGAAGCAAAATATATAGCAATAAATCTGTGCAATAATAGTAGAAATATACAGAATATATATAGAGAGAGGAAAAAATTCAATAAAAATATATGTAATATAATCAAACATAAAAGAGTGACTGCGCTTACAGTGCAATAATAATATACAACACCTCTGGCACTAAATTCTTGATTATATGGCCGAAAAAAATCTATATTCACAGGCATTATGTATAACAGCGCGAGTCATCACTAATCTGTCAAATATTTACTTCAATTTGTTTTCTCTTCTGTAATCATCAAAAATAAAGTAATAATAAAAATTGATAGAAAACTACATATTTAATAATTGCCTTCAAAAATAACATAACACACTACTCTGTAATGAAAAAACTCATAATAAATGAATGCTTTGAATTCGTAACAGAGAGAGAGAGAGAGAGAGAGAGAGAGAGAGAGAGAGAGAGATTCTTACATAAAAAGAAAGAAAGAAATAAAGAGAAAAGTCGAGTCAAACCACTTGAAGGCAATACTACTTGTAGTGCATAATTGAGTACAAATTAATGCAATCTTTTTCTTTTATTGTAGAGAATACCAGTCCTTCTCTCCCAATGTATTCGTCAACTAATTCCTCTTTTCTTCTGTTGGCTATACATGTCATGCGATCACAAGACAACACACATATAAATGTCTTACTTTCCCGTAATGTCAATATAGGCACGAGAGCTGAGGTCGTCGGAGACTAAGTGTTTGGCTCTTTGTATTCCGTTGGCTTTGCGGGCGTCCAGTGAATACAGGGCTGTCTCGGCGTCCCCTCTAAACCATAGTATCAAATCAATCGAGTCGTTGAGGGGTCGGCTGACGTTACACGGAAGTACGGCTTTGCCCTTTAGGTACACAACACATAATACACAATCATTTTCATGTCATATATATATGCCATGCCATCAATTAATGATAATATTGAGTATAATATATAGAGCATAATGCAAAATGCCATCAAAATCGGTATGACACACACAATATTGCTCATTATTATGATACCCGGGCTATCAATTATTTATCCATAAGTAATACAAATAGTTTAATAATTCATGAGTGGGCTCAATGAAAGTGGCCGGAGATTCCTATTACCTGTTCCTCCGCCACGACATGTATAGCCGGTTCCGATTCCTCGTCAGCCATCAGCGATAGTTGCAGTAAATTCATTGTCTTTTGCTGCTCACCATTCAGTGCACCTGTAATTGAGACGAGAAAAACATAAAAATTTAGCTTTCGCATTAATTATGTATTTGTGTTTCTCGTTTAAATGAGATTAATGTTTGATTTAATTATTCAATCAGAATATTATGACTAATATTCTCGGTTTGAAAATCGATAGAAAACATAGCATAGGATTACCAGTGTATGCTAAACGTATGAATTTATTGGACAAATCATGTGTTGTATAAATATTTAATCAGTAGTTAATTACTGGAGACACACACACACACATATATATATATATATATATATATATATATATATATATATACATACATAAAGAATTTATAAAATTCAGTTCATAAATAAAATATGAGCGAGCATTATTAGTTTAAAACATACAAATTTTTATTAGTTTTTTGCACCATATTCTCGACTAATTATCTCATCAGTTATGCATTGTTTTAGATTTTTATAAAATTTTTGCCAATATTTGTCAAAAACTTATACACACGATTTTATTTTTCAGACTAATTTTGCACATCATTTGCACATTTATTTTCGTATGAAAAGAGTTAGTTTAGTGTCAAAAAACTTTTATTTTCATATTGTGTACGATTTTTATTGTTTTCTGGGGCTTATTATTAATTTTACACAATTTTTATGCGCCTTTATTTCTATGCGACAAAAAACAATTGACGCATAAAATTAAAATTAATTGACGCCTGCATTGAATAAAACAAAACAATGGTTTTGTAAGACACAAAAAATGCTAAATACATTAAAACCATTCATTCATTTTGAACGCAATTTTTTTCGGGAAGTTTTCAGTCGACAAACATTAACTGAGAAAAGAAATCTGAAGTTAATAACAATTAAAAGTGATTTTTGCCGTCAAATACATATGACTACTACACTCGGCAGTCGCTAAAAAACATTTATTAATACATCCATAAAATTGGGAGGAGTGGTGGTGTGTATATACAGTACGGTATATATTATTTGTGGATCAACTGTACATAAGGCCAGAGCACCGGGAGAATGGAGAGAGAGAGAGAGAGAGAGAGAGAGAGAGAGAGACTGTTTGAAAAGGGCAGCAAAATTATCTCATAGTTTTTGTCAGTTAATGTCGTCTTTGATGCCGTGAAGAGTTATACGAGAGTTAAGAGTGAAAAGAGAGAGCGAAAGAAATATAATAATAAACTCAATACCGATGACAACAACGACCACATAATGAGAGAAATAAGAATTGTGTGGAAATTGACAAAAATAATAACACTTTTTCTCTCCTTTTTCATACGAAGCACACCACAGCTCTCTCTCTCTCTCTCTCTCTCTCCCTCAGTCCCATCTTACCGAACATTAGTGGTGGGATATGAGGGCTGACCAAGTAGTAGGCATTCCCATAAGGGATCTATTATTTTGTTAAGTTTGCATAAATGAATGCCTGAAACTTCCGAAAACGAAAAGAAATTAAATTTTATTAGACATTAAATTTTTAAACATTTATCGGAATAGGTTTGTTTGATGTGTTTCTAATCGCATTTCCTAATCCCAGTCCTCCCCTCACCGGTTGGGCAGTGATCTCACATACAAAGTATGGCCAAAAACAGCTCAACACAATTGAACGCCATTTCACGTTCACATTTCACACACACTTTTGTCTCATCCTTTGCTCTCTCTCTCTCTCTCTCTCTCTTTCTCTCTCGCATTGATCGGCAATAAATTTCTTTTACTGTTTTCAATGGATATTATCTTTTATTTTAAACGAAAAAATAGTATAAAAAAGTAGAATAAAGAAATAAAAATACAAAATAAAAATCTGATATAAAATTCTTTGCGAAAAGATATATAAAAAGACAGTAAAAACAGTTTGTCTGAAGAAACAGTTGAGAGAATTCGGTGACACAAACAAATACATTGTATTCTTTAGCAGAATCTCTCTCTCTCTCTCTCTCTCTCTCTCATATCATGTTGTGTTATAGTATTAGTCGATATACAGAATATTGGCAGACATAGGCATCACATAACTGTGCGATTCATGAAGTCCTATCGCCATCGGCTAAATAGATGGCTGAATGTGTGAAAATGCAATTCATTTTGCATCAGATATACGAAACAATGTGTCAATTGGACTGGAATTATGGCCACTGAACCTTTCACTTAGCTTTTAACTCCTCTCTCTCTCTCTCTCTCTCTCTCTCTCACACACACACACACACACACACACACACACACACCAACATATTCTCCCTAATAATATCTCATAAGTGTATATAAAAGTCAGAGCTTTTGATCTATAATTTAGTTTTGCTACGATTTTTTGAGATCTAATAATAATCAAAATGAGAATAAAAATAATTGGTTTTTGTATAAGAATTGGATTTTCCCTGAAATACAGAGACATAGTGTGAGAGCGAGCAAAGACTAATGATATGACTTTTACGACTCCCGACGTCTATTAGGGAACTGAAAACATATGCGAAACAACTTATAATAATTTATATTTAAATAAATATTAACTAAAGACACTGTCTCTCAACAAAATTGCTTTAAGTCACACACATACTAAAAAATATTTAGTTAATCATCTTAGACATCATAAAATAATACAATATTATTGTTATTAATATAATTCTAGAATAAAAAACAAAATACATAGCGTATAAAAATTGAAAAATTAATTATTTCAAAAAATGCAAAACAAATAAATTTCAGACTTTCATTACGGGATTAGAGAGAAAAAGCTATTTTGATGGCAAACATAGTGTGTGCATAAAAACCTATTAAAAACATTAGGTTTATATTTATAGTCCATTGTTTTGCTCAGACATTAGGCGCACACACAGAATATAAGAGGAGAGAAATTAGCGATTCCTCCACTGATTAAGAATTGCTTTTAATATTTAATTCCGGATATAATTCTCGGATAATTGATGACCTCCTCCTACATCACTGCCTCATCCTTAGCCACCACTCACTCACTAAGACTACCAGTCCTTTCATTCCGTACTAACCAGTGTTCAGCCACTAATACCATACCCATCGCCTACCAGTATATATCTTTGAAAGCAAAAACTTCACAGTAATTAAGTTAACAGTGAATTTGTGAACCAAACAAAATAGTAATAATTTCCTAAATGGCGTTCACTTGTTATGCCATTTGACTGACTCTCGCAATGAGTTATACTTTAATGGAAACGGCTTTTAGTTTAGTTATACTGTATATAAATATATATTTACTAAAAGTTTCGCTTAAAGTAAAGACCTATTTCTTCATCGTTTGATTAAATAAATAATACATCGGATCCCATCTTCAATGTCTCTCTCTCTCTCTCTCTCTCTCTCTCTCTCTCTCTCTCTCTCATGAATGTGGAAATGGTTTTACTTTAAAAAATTATATCATTAATATATTTATTTGGTTAAACAATACATCTAATGAGAGAGTACTTTAAGGTTAAGAACTTCTCATCAAAAAAGAAAAACCAACAAATGGTTCACAGAATGAAATATAAATAGATTGAGAATATTCTCGAAACAAAACCATTAATTCAATAATGAAACTAAAAATATATTCCGGCATCTAATAAACATTATGATAAGTGTAATTTATTTAAATACTTGTATTAATCTCTCTCTCTCTCTCTCTCTCTCTCTCTGCGCTTTCATTATAATTATTATTAGGCTATTTTTGGTATAAATTTTTCGGACATTAAATCAATTGAAAAGCTAATGAATGAATTGAACTAATATACGAATTAAATCTAACACATAATGTATTAACTTAATATATCGTTGGGCATCAAATCAATACCAAAACGTAAAACAATATTATTGTTATTTGTGAGTGTCAGCACTCACTACCACTATATTCAAGAATTTGTAAAATATTTTGTCAATGGACTATAAATATAAACCTAATGTTTTTAATAGGTTTTTATGCACACACACACACACACACACAAATTCTCTATCATTTATTCATTGTCTTAATATCTTAATAAGAAATATCGACACCCATTAAAACAATAGGCATTAACATATAGTGCAATAAAAAACATTTTTTTATTTAACAATTAAGTCGATTCTCTTAATTACAACTCAATCTGATTGCGACTAATGTTGTGATTCACTGGAAATTAAGTGCAATTGCGTCCGATTTGTGCGGCAATGGCTCTAAACATGCGATACTTATTCAACGAAACGCTTTTCCAATCAGTTTCTAATGGCATATGAATATAATGTATAGCAAAGCAAAAGTGTCTCCAAAAACATAAAGTCCACACAAAAAAGGAAGAGATTTCGGCGTTTTTGTCATTAAGTTAAGTGTTTTTATCAACATTTTGAGTATTATTTAATTCATTGATTTTTTTCAAACATAATATACATTCAGGTTTTTCACTATTAATATTAAGTGAATAATAATAAAATATACGAAAATAGTATTAGCGCCGAGAACTTATGGCCTATCGATTGTGTCCACAAATATAAATATAATGATAGAATTATTTAAATTTTTTGCTATTATCTAATTAACATTTTGCATAATAATAATAATAATAAACATTTGTATCGCATATATAATATGAATGCATTGACTATATTACAGCATTATACTGTATACAAGAGTATAATATATTTATATTCAAAATGTTAGCCTAATTATCGCACTAAACAAATATATTTATATATAATCTTCATTTTTACACAATGTATTTAAATGTGTCTTAGAAATGCATTTAAATGGTATTAAAGAGATAGAGAAAGCGAGTGAAAGTTTTCATTCAATAAACATTGATTTTCAATCATCTCATTGAGGGATAAGTATATACCATATAATTTGGAGGCACCAGAAAGAAATGGGAGCGAAATTTTGTCATTTCATATAAAATTTAAATATATTTCGCATTTCATACGGAGATTAAAATTATTGACTATTAGGCCATTAGAGTCAATGCGTGTGAATATTTATAATGTAAAAAATATATATATAAGTAAAAAGTGGA